CTGCTGCTATATGACGAGAGCTGCTGCTATATGACGAAAGCTGCTGCTATATGACGAGAGCTGCTGCTATATAACGAGAGCTGCTGCTATATGACGAGAGCTGCTGCTATATAACGAGAGCTGCTGCTATATGACGAGAGCTGCTGCTATATAACGAGAGCTGCTGCTATATGACGAGAGCTGCTGCTATATAACGAGAGCTGCTGCTATATAACGAGAGCTGCAGCTATATAATGAGAGCTGCTGCTATATGACGAGAGCTGCAGCTATATGACGAGAGCTGCAGCTATATGACGAGAGCTGCAGCTATATGACGAGAGCTGCAGCTATATGACGAGAGCTGCAGCTATATGACGAGAGCTGCAGCTATATGATGAGAGCTGCTGCTATATGACGAGAGCTGCAGCTATATGACGAGAGCTGCAGCTATATGACGAGAGCTGCAGCTATATGATGAGAGCTGCTGCTATATAACGAGAGCTGCAGCTATATGACGAGAGCTGCAGCTATATGACGAGAGCTGCAGCTATATGACGAGAGCTGCAGCTATATGACGAGAGCTGCAGCTATATGATGAGAGCTGCAGCTATATGATGAGAGTTGCAGCTATATGACGAGAGCTGCTGCTATATGACGAGAGCTGCAGCTATATGACGAGAGCTGCAGCTATATGACGAGAGCTGCAGCTATATGACGAGAGCTGCAGCTATATGACGAGAGCTGCAGCTATATGATGAGAGCTGCAGCTATATGACGAGAGCTGCAGCTATATGACGAGAGCTGCAGCTATATGACGAGAGCTGCAGCTATATGATGAGAGCTGCAGCTATATGACGAGAGCTGCAGCTATATGATGAGAGCTGCAGCTATATGACGAGAGCTGCAGCTATATGACGAGAGCTGCAGCTATATGACGAGAGCTGCAGCTATATGACGAGAGCTGCAGCTATATGACGAGAGCTGCAGCTATATGACGAGAGCTGCAGCTATATGATGAGAGCTGCAGCTATATGACGAGAGCTGCAGCTATATGACGAGAGCTGCAGCTATATGACGAGAGCTGCAGCTATATGACGAGAGCTGCAGCTATATGACGAGAGCTGCAGCTATATGATGAGAGCTGCAGCTATATGACGAGAGCTGCAGCTATATGACGAGAGCTGCAGCTATATGACGAGAGCTGCAGCTATATGACGAGAGCTGCAGCTATATGACGAGAGCTGCAGCTATATGACGAGAGCTGCAAGTGGAGTGTGCCAAGGCTCTGTCCTGCCACCTCTATTGTTTATCATATATTTAAATGATTCAGAGTCAGGACTGATTCAGAAGATTCAGTCACTTCAAGACGAGCTATTAATATTATCTAGATAGAAGCCTAATCTTTCTAGATAGGCTTCTGAAATAGTCAAAAGATTGCTAAATACTGTTTAATCCTGAAGAATGTAGGATTCAGAGGCTGGGTAATGAGTTAACATATCAGCTGGATAGTGTTACAATGGCGAAATCTGATTGTGAAAAAAAGTCTTGGAGTCATGATTAGTAGGAATTTAAACGAAACAATTAGTGCATCAATGTTCGGGATAAGACAAATAGGATACTGGGATTTATTTCTAGAAATTGGGATTTGATTTCTTTATCATGATAAAGCAATCATTATTATTCCTCAGCTATATTTTGTTGCTCTTAGGCCCCATTTATATTATGCAGGTAAATTTTCGTCGCCATACAAATGAATGGACAGGCGCCAATCCTTAACTGTACGCCTCTGTACAGGAGGCCTGGCTGGGGACCGAGCCGCGGGGACGTTGAGCCCCGAAATCAAATCTAGGTAACCGCAAGGTAACTTCTGTTCACCCACCATTAATTGGGTACCTGGTTGTCAAGCAATTGGCGGGTCGTACTCCAGGGCAACTAGTAGGTATAGGCCTACCCTGAGCTGTGGAATAGGCAAGTTCTGAGCCTGCTAGCAAGAGTTAGCAGGCGTCTGTTCCTCTACCACCTGTGTTCAAGACAAATTACAAAGTAGTATGAAAAGTAGCGGCTCATAAATATCCACGTTTTTTGTGTAAGGGTTAGGTGGGTGGCTTGGGCTGGTACGTTTCTGGTTAGCACTTTGTATTTTGACCGTTGTGTCACATCAAGACAACGGGCTGGGCACAGAGACCAACAATAAGCTATAACGTGTCTCTTTAAGCAGCGGGGAAGTCATTATGACATTATGCACATTGTCAATGGGGTCCCATTATCGCGTCTCCTGCTCGTACCTGCTGGGGACGACCTCCCGCACGGAACCCACTCCTCCCTGTTCATCTGTGGTGAGAGGACAACCAGGCATGTGGTGACGACCAGAGGTCAGATTCACGAAAGTACTCACGCAAACACTTACGAACCTGTACATCTTTTCTCAATCTTTGGCGGCTTTGTTTACAATTATTAAACAGTTAATGAGCTCCGAAGCACCAGGAGGCTGTTTATAACAATAACAACAGTTGATTGGCAAGTGTTCTTGCTTGTAAACTGTTTAATAAATGTAACCAAAGCCGTCAAAGATTGAGGAAAGATGTACACGTTCATAAGTGCTTGCGTAATTGCTTCGTGAATCTGGACCCAGCCACAGACATGCAGAGAGACTACTACCAGACATGAGAGATGTGATATACCAGGAAAACATAAGAGAAGTAAACCTCAAAGCCTGCGTGTGAAGCGAGAAAACTCAAGGGAAATATTATCAAAATATATCAAATACTCAGGGAAATTTACTTAGTAGATTAAGACAGGACAATCTGAACTGGAAGGAACAGAGGGTCATAGAAATGTTAGATAGAACATTATTGAAAGATGAGCGAGAGGGAGAGAGACAGAGAGAGAGAGAGAGAGAGAGAGAGAGAGAGAGAGAGAGAGAGAGAGAGAGAGAGAGAGAGAGAGAGAGAGAGACAGAGAGAGAGAGAGAGAGACAGAGAGAGAGAGACAGAGAGAGAGAGAGAGAGAGAGAGAGAGAGAGAGAGAGAGAGAGAGAGAGAGAGAGAGAGAGAGAGAGAGAGAGAGAGAGAGAGAGAGAGAGAGAGAGAGAGAGAGAGAGAGAGAGAGAGAGAGAGAGAGAGAGAGAGAGAGAGAGAGAGAGAGAGAGAGAGAGAGAGAGAGAGAGAGAGAGAGAGAGAGAGAGAGAGAGAGAGAGAGAGAGAGAGAGAGAGAGAGAGAGAGAGAGAGAGAGAGAGAGAGAGAGAGAGAGAGAGAGAGAGAGAGAGAGAGAGAGAGAGAGCTCCACACCTGGTGAAGGTTCAGCTCAGAAGAGCTCATAATATACGAGTAAGCGGACATAGAGTCGGTCCAACAGACATAACGATAAGGCCGCTCGGACAGGAGGTCGCAGTGAGAATTTTCACCCGTGAGGTGAATGTGGGTTACTATAATAACAGTCCCAACACAGTGTAAAGACGATGTCACTAGAGGCTGGTATCTCTGTATAACAGGAGGAGTTCTCGACCATAAGGCGGTGTTGTTTACACGTGAACACGCGCTAAGACCTCCACCAGACCATGCATACTTTCAGGTCACCCTTAGCAAGACATTTAGTTTTCCAATTCTTAAAAGATTAAGGCATTTATTTTCTGTTTGGCGAAGATTTGCACAGTGCGCCGATATTGGCTATGTTGGTCTGATAGGTTTATGTTAACAGTCTGACAGAAATATTCACTCGAATGAATATTTCTAGTGAGAATTTACAAAATAATTATGATTAAAGAAACCTTTTGATACGTGTCAAACTAGGTCAGGGTTCAGGTAAAGGTCAGGCATGAAGAATGTTTTTCACTTCACACAAAGAAGACAGCTTTGTAAATCATAACTTTCACACAGAGAGAAGTTAGCACAACTGAAGCTTCTCAGAGAGAAGGAAGCATAACTAATACTTCTTACATAGAAAATATCATTCCATGAACTTCACACACAGTACTCAGGGCCCCTTTATGTTTGGCACTTGGCAGACATTTATGGATCTTTTTCACTACTGACACTATCCGTTACCCATATGATCAATAATTGATAAATTATATTAAATTACAATAATTTATAATATATTTATAATTTATTAATTTATATTATACAGAAATTATTATTATTATTATATATATATATATATATATATATATATATATATATATATATATATATAGATAGATATAGATAGAGATAGAGAGAGAGAGAGAGAGAGAGAGAGAGAGAGAGAGAGAGAGAGAGAGAGAGAGAGAGAGAGAGAGAGAGAGAGAGAGAGAGAGAGAGAGAGAGAGAGAGAGAGAGAGAGAGAGAGAGAGAGAGAGAGAGAGAGAGAGAGAGAGAGAGAGAGAGGGGGGGGTCCCACCTCAGAAGACAGAAACCCTCCCAATCTATTTCATGAGAGTTTTAAGAAAGAAAAACGAGTCTTAGAAATTTGACTGTGTCTTACAGTTTATAATCAGAAATTATACTTTAAATTTGTTAAAGTTTGCCCTATATGATAATTATCACATTTAGTACATGTGTATTTTGTAAATATCATAAATATCACACACAAAAATATACCAACTATCAAATTTTCATTATTGTTTTAATTATTAAACACTTCATTTAATTAAAATAATATCCAGGTTTTAACATTGTTTTCAAAATCAGAAAAATACGGGAAAGATTTGAAAGATGAGTTTTGCGTGTTAATGTGGTCGTAGCCTATGACTGTTTACGGCAAGTCTCCGAAAATGCCCTGGATAACTAAGTTTAGATTCCATATAATTCCAAACCCCTTACATACCTATGATTGGTAACAATAAATTATATATATCTGTAGCAGCAGGAGCTGATAAAACATGAAGGAATGAATAATTTAAAATAAAACCACAAAAAAAAGATTATTTGTAAGGGAAGGGAAGCGCGGGGAAGGTCTTATGCCGTGAGAAATGGTCCTCGCTGGACGAAGGGGATCCTTGACTTGCTCCACCGAGAGTGAGAAGGATCGTCTGTCATATGGATCAATGAGGCCCGGAGGGTTGGAGGGCCTCCATGTGGAGGACAGTTGAGGAGGGTTGGAGGGCCACCATGTGGAGGACAGTTGAGGAGGGTTGGAGGGCCTCCATGTGGAGGGTTGGAGGGCCTCCATGTGGAGGGTTGGAGGGTCTCCATGTGGACGGTTGGAGGGCCTCCATGTGGACGGTTGGAGGGCCTCCATGTGGACGGTTGGAGGGCCTCCATGTGGAGGGTTGGAGGGCCTCCATGTGGACGGTTGGAGGGCCTCCATGTGGACGGTTGGAGGGCCTCCATGTGGACGGTTGGAGGGCCTCCATGTGGACGGACAGTTGAGGAGGCCTCCAGGGTGGAGGGTTGGAGGGCCTCCATGTGGAGGGTTGGAGGGCCTCCATGTGGAGGGTTGGAGGGCCTCCATGTGGACGGTTGGAGGGCCTCCATGTGGACGGTTGGAGGGCCTCCATGTGGAGGGTTGGAGGGCCTCCATGTGGAGGACAGTTGTGGAGGGTTGGAGGGCCTCCATGTGGAGGACAGTTGAGGAGGGTTGGAGGGCCACCATGTGGAGGGTTGGAGGGCCTCCATGTGGAGGGTTGGAGGGCCTCCATGTGGACGGTTGGAGGGCCTCCATGTGGAGGGTTGGAGGGCCTCCATGTGTTGGAGGGTTGGAGGGCCTCCATGTGGAGGACAGGAGGGTTGGAGGGCCTCCATGTGGAGGGTTGGAGGGCCTCCATGTGGAGGGTTGGAGGGCCTCCATGTGGAGGACAGTTGAGGAGGGTTGGAGGGCCTCCATGTGGAGGACAGTTGAGGAGGGTTGGAGGGCCTCCATGTGGAGGGTTGGAGGGCCACCATGTGGAGGACAGTTGAGGAGGGTTGGAGGGCCTCCATGGGTGGAGGGTTGGAGGGCCTCCATGTGGAGGGTTGGAGGGCCTCCATGTGGAGGGTTGGAGGGCCTCCATGTGGAGGGTTGGAGGGCCTCCATGTGGAGGACAGTTGAGGGTTGGAGGGCCTCCATGTGGAGGACAGTTGAGGAGGGTTGGAGGGCCACCATGTGGAGGACAGTTGAGGAGGGTTGGAGGGCCTCCATGGGTGGAGGGCCTCCATGTGGAGGGTTGGAGGGCCTCCATGTGGAGGGTTGGAGGGCCTCCATGTGGAGGGTTGGAGGGCCTCCATGTGGAGGGTTGGAGGGCCTCCATGTGGAGGACAGTTGAGGAGGGTTGGAGGGCCACCATGTGGAGGGTTGGAGGGCCTCCATGTGGAGGGTTGGAGGGCCTCCATGTGGAGGGTTGGAGGGCCTCCATGTGGAGGGCAGTTGAGGAGATAGTTAATATTGTAACAGTAAGACGTGACCAATTATCTAAAGCTTTGTTTGTTCAGATGGCTGCTTCATAACGAATTGTAAAAGAATTTTCAATAGAAACAATATATATTTATAGCACTGTCTCCTATTTGTGACCGGAGCTGTTTTGGCCTTTCTGCCCACACTCCGGGTGTCGTGTGGAGGTTGGTACCAGCGACACTAATATTTTCCAAGTTAAGATTATAATATACCTGACCAGCACTCCAGAGAGCACAGCTTGAGGGACACTAAGGTGACACAGTGAATCACATCTGTCAAGGAGTGATGTGTCAGTAAGTGTTCCCTGCACACTCTCCTTGTGAGGCAGTAATCCTTCCCTTGTTCTTCCATCCCTCCCTCACCCCCTTGTCCCCACACTCTCCTCTCCCACACTCCCCTCTCCCACCCTTCCCACCCCTTCTCAGCTTCCCGTTTCCTTGGCAGCTATGACGTCACATATGCATTAGACCAATTCGTAGAAACTCAAGTGTGTGTCTCTTGGTAATGGCCAGCGTAAATTACCACCCTCCATCCCCCCTCCTCCCTCTCCTGCTGGAGCTAAAACACTTAAGAAGCTCCTTTACCTCACCATCCATCACCAGGCCATCAACCATAATGCCATCAACCACAACGCCATCAATCACAACGCAATTGTGAGCGAGTGATTTTCCACAACTGACAGAGTGATAGACTGGAGTGCACTCGTGCAACCGCCAGAGTGCGAGCGCCAGGCTGCACATCCTGTATAATCCCTGTGACTGGCATTTGGTCTCGCATGTTTGTTGTGTCTCATGACACACTCTTGTGTTCCCACGAGTCTCCTAGTGAGACCCACGAGTCCCTAGTGAGACCCACGAGTCCCCTAGTGAGACCCACGAGTCCCCTAGTGAGACCCACGAGTCCCCTAGTGAGACCCACGAGTCCCCTAGTGAGACCCACGAGTCCCCTAGTGAGACCCACGAGTCCCCTAGTGAGACCCACGAGTCCCCTAGTGAGACCCACGAGTCCCCTAGTGAGACCCACGAGTCCCCTAGTGAGACCCACGAGTCCCTAGTGAGACCCACGAGTCCCTAGTGAGACCCACGAGTCCCCTAGTGAGACCCACGAGTCCCTAGTGAGACCCACGAGTCCCCTAGTGAGACCCACGAGTCCCTAGTGAGACCCACGAGTCCCCTAGTGAGACCCACGAGTCCCCTAGTGAGACCCACGAGTCCCTTTTAAGACCCGCGAGAGAAGCCCCGTGTTGGTTTATCTACCAAACAGTGGACAAAACAACGCCAGTAAGTCCCTCTGACCGTCAAGCTAAACCACCGGGTTTTAATTCAATATTCCAGTGTATACAGTACCTGGAACTGTGTCTGGGAATATATTGCATGTGAGGTGAGCCAGTGTGTCGGGTGAGACCAGGAGCACAGGACAGTGGGATCAGCCAGGCGGTCTCTCCAGGAGAGGTGAGTGAGAGCCTAAGGTGCTGGGAGGGATGAGTGAGAGTCTAAGGTGCTGGGAGGGATGAGTGAGAGTCTAAGGTGCTGGAAGGGATGAGTGAGAGTCTAAGGTGCTGGGAGGGATGAGTGAGAGCCTAAGGTGCTGGGAGGGATGAGTGAGAGTCTAAGGTGCTGGGAAGGATGAGTGAGAGTCTAAGGTGCTGGGAGGGATGAGTGAGAGTCTAAGGTGCTGGGAGGGATGAGTGAGAGCCTAAGGTGCTGGGAGGGATGAGTGAGAGTCTAAGGTGCTGGGAGGCACCATTTTATATATATATATATATATATATATATATATATATATATATATATATATATATATATATATATATATATATATATATATATATATATATATATATATATATATATGCGAACAAGCCTGAATGGTCCCCAGGACAATATGCAACTGAAAACTCACACCCCAGAAGTGACTCGAACCCATACTCCCAGGAGCAACGCAACTGGTATGTACAAGACGCCTTAATCCACTTGACCATCACGACCAGACAAAATGAGGTGATAGCCGAGGCTATTTGAACCACCCCACCGCCGGCACTCGGATAGTAATCTTGGGCATAGCATTTGCTCCTGGCAGTATGGGTTCGAGTCACTTCTGGGGTGTGAGTTTTCATATATATATATATATATATATATATATATATATATATATATATATATATATATATATATATATATATATATATATATATATATATATATATATACACCATTTACTAATTTTAAAATGAAAAGGAAAACCATTGATATAATAAACATTTTGTTTCAGATTCTTTACTTTAAAATGCATGATGTTTCGAATACTTCTCGTATTCATCATCAGATCTTAAAGAAATAAAACAGAAGTCACAATAAAATAACTAGCAAACAAAAGCCTCATACTGAAAAAATTACCGATCAAAAGAAAAGATATATCAAACGAAACAGGTTATAAATCAAACCGAATAAATGTATGTAAAACACTAGCAAAATAAAAGACAATTGTAAAATATGAGCCAAAATCTTATGAAAACATAAATATCCAACAAAACTAAACACCAAAAAATGTATTGTATGCTTAATTAAGGAAAATAACAATATACAACATCAACACAAGAAATAAGTAAAAAAAAAAAAAAGACAAATCATGGTAAACTAAAAAATTAAAAAATGCCAGCATGAGATGTAAATTAAATTACAATGCCTACTGTGCCTTACAGTGTACAATTGAACAGCCGAATGGTTGCTATTTAACAGAGGCCGCAGCTCCCTGATATATAAGGATTCCATTATTCTCAAATACGACTGGCCATTCATACAAGTGTCTAGAATTTTACGATCGGATTCCAGCAGTGAATGATTCAACTCATGACATTGATTTCTAATCTTCGAGAATGTTTGGATAATGGTAATCCAGTCCTGAATGATACTCCCCGGTGCTCAAGGATCCTAATCTTGAAGTTCCGAATGGAACTCCCGATGTATCCAACATTACAGCTGGAACAATTCTACATATATACGATACTAGAGCACACGGGGAGGGAGGGATGGGGGGGGTTGACACTTTATCTTTAAATTTGAAATGGGAGCCTATGGTATTTGTATTGACAAAAATAAATCTAAAGCCTACTTTGAGGATAACAATGCTGTAAAAGTTTCCTCGATCGACTTCTTACAGAAAAATTAATAGTGCCGTAAAATGGTAATTTAATTTATTTAATATCCCTTTCTTCTGTAGTAATCCTACAAGAAGGGTGAAACTTCTTATTTAAGAAATTCCTTATAAAGGTATATACCATATGCGAAGGATAACTATTATTTGAAAAAAATTCACTGGGAAATTAATTTCTTAATCAAAATTAGACCAATTCGAACATAAAACAAAGGCTCTAATCAGTAGAGTGTTCATTGAATTTTTCTTAAAAATATCTGGAACAAAAGAATTAAAATTTAAACCTAAACCTGTAAAAGTTTGTTTTCTGTAAACATAGTGTTAAACCCATTAAGGTTATTCACTTTGACATCAAGAAACCAGAACCACCTCAGACTTTGGTAATTGATTCTGCTCGGTACTCTGAACTTAGCCAATTATTAGGCATCACGTAAATTGGTTGATTTCCTGAGTAAAATAGGAATCAGACACAAATTCTCAGGTGTCCTAAAATACTTGGTCAAAAAAGCCCAAACTGAAAGTTATGGGGAAGATTTTGAAAACCTTCCTGTAAAAACTATTAATGCTCTGGGTCTCTGGACTAATCCAGAGAGCTATAACATTTTAAGGTGAAGGGTTAGCCTACAGCAGGTCCAGATTGATCTAGAAATAAAACACCCATTGTTTCTCTCTCGTAACCGCAGAGTAAGCAGTCTAATTGTATTACATATACACAAACCCTGCACTCTGCATGGTGGGGTACTAGATATCCTCACCTCATTGAGATAACAGTTCTGGCTTTCTCAAGGTCACCAGACTGTCAAGGCCATACTAAATTCCTGTGTGGTCTGCCGGAGATGTGACACTAGGGTGTGTCCTTATTCACGACCTCCACCACTCCCCACGGAACGAGTTGTCCTTTTGAGACCACTGATGTAGACTACACGAGCAATAACCTTAACAGGCACTAAAGACAAAGTTCCGGTGAAGGCTTGCATCTGCCTATTCACTTGGGCTTATTCACAGGGGGAAGTACACCTAGAAGTGACCCCGACATGAGTGTCAAAGCATTCATACAGACCACTCACAGGTTTGCTGCCTGCTGGTCTGTCCCAAGTTGATGATCTCAGATAATGGGTCCAACTTGGTGGCTGGGGAACCATGCCTGAGAGAGGTCTGGAATGGCCCAGTAGTACATATCGCTCTAAATCAGTGACAGTGCCACTGGAAAGTTGTATCCCCCAGAGCACCGTGGTATGGAGGCTTCTACGAGTGGATGGTGGGGACAACCAAACGCTGTCTTCGAAAGACCTTTCACCGCCAAAAAATTTATCTCTAGGAGCTCCAAACCATTGTAACGGAAATTGAATCTTGGGGCAGGACTATAAGCCATTAGGACTTATTTCCTGTTCGTCTTCTCCTCGATACTTTGGTGAAACTAGTCATACACCAAATGACAGACTTAAGGGACACAAAAGAAGTGTTAAGTCTGCAGACACAAACCATGCTCTCTTCTGTCATGATAAGGACTCTAATCATCCTATTGATTGGTCTTCTAAAATAATCTTTCCTGCCTCTACTCTTCACAGACACCGTCTGTGAAGAGTAGAGGCAGGACACCCATTCACGGGTGTCAGAGCCCGTGAATGGGCTCTGACACCCAACCTACCCAACTTACCTTGGTCATGGCTTTGTTGCTGTTGACTCTTCCCTCTCACAGTACTCAAATGTTCTAACCTTCCTAACAAATGTGACCTGACTTAAGTCTAACCCCTTTTTCTTACCCCCCTTTCTTTTCCTAACCTTCTTATTATTACCTCATACCATTCTTCCTTCATCTCATTCTTACATTAATCCAATTCATACCTTTCATCCTATTCTTATTTTTCACCTTATTCTTACTTTCTTATAGAAATTATGCTCAACCACTTGGGCTGGATGGTAGAGCGACGGTATTGCTTCATGCAGGGCAGCGTTCAATCCCCAACCGTCCAAGTGGTTGGGCACCATTCCTTCCCCTGGCACCATCCCAAATCCCTATCCTAACCCCTTCCCAGTGTAACACAGTCATAATGGCTGGGGTACTTCTGATAATTCCTTCCTTCCTTCCTTCTAGAAATTACCTTATTCTCTTACATGCACCTCACCTCACTCTCTTACCTTATATATTTGCACATAGTTTCATACCATCTATCACACGAATGGTCCCGGATGGGCTGAAATGTTATTGTTTCTCTATCTTCTGATTTGTGATTTGGTCATCTGATTTACTCTCGTGGCAGGGCTAATTCATACAAATACTTTTCCCTCCATTAATGAGAGGAGAAAAATATGTACCCATACCTAAACAAATATGTTTCCTAACCCTCACAGGCGCCTGACAGCTGGATGGACAGCGCTTCTGATTCGTAGTCCTGAGGTTCCGGGTTCGATCCCTGGTGGAGGCGGAGACTAATGACAAAATGTTTCTTTCACCCTGATGCCCCTGCTACCTAGCAGTAAATAGGTACCTGGGATTTAGACAGCTGCTACGGGCTGCTTCTTGGGGGATGTGTAACAAAAAGGAGTTCGACCACAAAGGAAGCGTCTGGGGCGATCTCGGACGTAGGTTCGAATCCTCATCACGGTCCTTGTGGATTTGTTCATTTGATGCATCACGCTATTGTGATTTGTGTGTGTAATGAAAAAGGAGGCCTGGTCGAGGACCGGGCCGGGGGGACGCTAAGGCCCGAAATCATCTCAAGATGACCTCAAGATAGATGCCCTGAAACATGACGCCATCTACTGGCAAACCTGGGAGAGAGGCCAATTACATCATGATGAAAACCACACAAGCATGATGCCTTATAGTGATAACAGGCGGCAGCTTCCATCAGTAGTGGGACTTATTTCACTACACACTATCTGCCTCACTGTAAACATCTTCACTCACACTACCCTCATCACTGTAACCATCTTCACTACACACTACCTTCATCACTACCCGGGTACCCCAACACCACCTATCATCATCATCATCATCACTATCTTGCCTACCCTTCACTACCTCTCCTACTGTTCACCACCCTCTTGACCCTTCTCACGTTTCCTAACCTTCACCTCCTTACCTACCCTTCCCCACCTTCCCGACCCTTCATCACCTTCCCTCCCCTAACCTTGACCACTCAGAAGGGTATCGATCAGAGCTTCAGCCGCACTCTTTAGCATCCATGGGAAGCTCTTGCCTAAGGTAAGGTAATTATCAGAAGAAAGTGCTAAATCATTAGGAATATATATATATATATATATATATATATATATATATATATATATATATATATATATATATATATATATATATATATATATATATATATATATATATATATATTTTTCTCTAATTTTTTTCTTATAAAATGATAAAGCTACTCATTTTATTATATATATATATATATAATAACCTAATATATATATATATATATATATATATATATATATATATAACTGAAAACTCCACACCCCAGAAGGATTCGAACCCAAACAGCCAGGAGCACTGTGCACATTGGTGTACCTGGTACCTTAATCACTAGACCACACGACTGTACAAAAATCTTGGTAGTTGTGAGACTATTTATATCCAAGATCTGACAGCGCTCGGTCGTCAACTTGGGCATAGATATTTCATCGAATCACCTCACTTTGTGGGGCCACGTGAGCAACACAAATGCATATACCACATACCTATATTACCACATACCTGGCCCACGCCACCACACACCTGGCCCACGCCACCACACACCTGGCCCACGCCACCACACACCTGGTCCACGCACTACATCGCCTCTGGTGTGAGGAGGGAGTGTGGCATGTAAGTTAGTGACTTGTGATAGGGAGCCATCAAACTTGGCTCATTTCTCGTCCAGTGCAAGCAAAGTTGGAGAGGTACTGAGAGCCCAGGACAGGCGGAGTCGGCCATAGCGACAGATGGCTGTGGTCTCTCTCCCACCACCAGGTGTCACTCGAGTCAAGTTCAAGTTCAAGTATGTTTATTGAGACAAGAAAGAACTACATCTCAAAGGGATAGAGTAGCTTAGGCTATTTCTACCCCCAGCCACTCGAGTCGTCTTGACGGCAACCAGTTCTCATCCAGGTCGTCTTGACGGCCACAAGGTCATCTTGACAGTAACCAAGTGTCACCCAGGTCGTCTTGACGGCCACAAGGTCATCTTGACAGTAACCAAGTGTCACCCAGGTCGTCTTGACGGCCACAAGGTCATCTTGACAGTAACCAAGTGTCACCCAGGTCGTCTTGACGGCCACAAGGTCATCTTGACAGTAACCAAGTGTCACCCAGGTCGTCTTGACGGCCACAAGGTCATCTTGACAGTAACCAAGTGTCACCCAGGTCGTCTTGAAAGGCTCCAAATGTCAGCCAAGTTGACTTAACGGCCACCAGATGTCACCCAGGTTGTCTTGATGCCCATCAAGTTTCACCCAAGTCGTCTTGACTGCCAACTGTCAATACTGTACTAGAAACGAAAGTCGTGTGTGCCATGTCAATATGTTGTACATTGTAAGTACATATGCTTCCTGTTATGGCCCCAGGTAGCCTAGCGGAGTGGATCTGCCAGGTGAGGGTTATTCTACTCACCTGACCAGAGATTAAGATGTCAGAGGAAGGGAATTTATTAGGTAACCGTCAGTGAGTGACTTAACAGAATAAAAGCATAGGATAAGCATCTTATAAAAGTTAGATGGAATAAGATGTCGACATCTTGTAACAACGTGACGCCGACGGACGTCGTAACATGTCACTTGAGTTAGCAAGCAGTTGTTTATGTGTGATGCCTGCCAGGCGACTTCGTAGACTCAAGTCGGGACTGTGAGGAGGCTTGAGAGGCAGTCCAACTGGGTTTTGGTGGATGATCAAGAGAGCGCCATTTTGGGGCGTTGTGGGCAAGTGTCGTCCATCATTTCTGTGGTAAGCTCACTTAAATAGTTGACAGATTGTTTATTAGTGCTGGATCGTGTGCCCAGCGATTGTAGGAGATGTTTATATACATAGGTTGAATATTTTATAAAGATAGTGAACAGATATAAGGAGTTAGAGATACGAGTGGACATGCTAGAGACAGGAGTAGCACATCCACACTCTCCTGAGGTCAGTGAGTGACTGAGGGGCGAAGCCCCCGGCGGGCGTCGTGGGTTGATTTCAGTGTGGACTTGTCCAAAAATGGGGGAGTTCCCACTGTGGCTGAGCTATTGTGCAGAAGAGATATCGAAAGGAGGAATTTATTTCGGTGTAAATATATGTATTTATATTTTATTAGGAAAACGGATTGGTAATGGAATTACAGGTTTGCATGGAAGAAGTTAGTGGAGGAGTTTCGCATCTGATGAAGATTATATGGTGAGCTCCAAGTGTGGAGCTGAGCTTCAAGTGTGGAGCTGAGCTTCAAGTGTGGAGTTGATCTTCAAGTGCAGCCCGTCCTCCAAACAAAGACCCAAAAGTGATTCCATGCACCCGCCAAACCCCCTGTTTATGAATGAAAAACGGTTTACACACGACTCAACTGATTTCGTTGAGACTCCTGGTTCAACCTAGACGACGAGTGGACGTCTGGGGGCCACGTTCTGTTTTCGCGTTTTGGATTTGCCATACTGCCGTTTGGCATTCTTCTTCAACGGTCCGGTCGTACGACGCCTGGCGCACATATCGCCTTGGGTCCCGGAATTTTTGATAGATTTTTTTTGACGTGTTCTGGCTGGTTCTCCCGGCGGAGTGACGGTGTCCGGCGCTGGTTTGGCGGAGAGGTGCCGGGAGTTGGCGGGTCTTGGTGGGCTCCTGGTGTGCCATCAGCCGTGGTGGGCTCCTGGTGTGCCCTCAGCCGTGTTGGGCTCCTGGTGTGCCATCAGCCGTGGTGGGCGGCTGGCTCCTGCTCTGCCCGAGGACACTGGATGACTTTTGCGTTTTAATTGGGGCCGAGTTTTGGTTTTGTTACCTGGTGTTCTCTGTGTGGAGCGGGGCCGGTGCTTGTCACCCTGTGGGACTCCTGGGGCTCCCGGATCATCTGCCCGCTTGCCTTTCTTTGCCGCGAGGCATATTAGTTTCAAGTGATTGGCGTCACTCGTTTCACGATTAAGCTTGGCGTTTCACCTTTCCAGGCTTCGCGATTAACCCTTATCGGGTACGCCGAGGCGCATCCGATCCCACGATCGTCGTCGCCCCTAAATCTACAACAGGGGTTGACAGAGTGGACATAGACGAAATGTTCACACGGAATAGTAACAGAACGAGGGGACATGGGTGGAAGTTGGAAACTCAGATAAGTCACAGAGATGTTAGGAAGTTTTCTTTTAGCGTGAGAGTAGTGGAAAAATGGAATGCACTTAAGGAACAGGTTGTGGAAGCAAATACTATTCATAATTTTAAAACCAGGTATGATAGGGAAATAGGACCGGAGTCATTGCTGTAAACAACCGATGCTCGAAAGGCGGGATCCAAGAGTCAATGCTCGATCCTGCAGACACAACTAGGTGAGTACACACACACACACACACACACACACACACACACACACACACACACACACACACACACACACACACACACACACACACACACACACACACACACACGCACACACACACACACGCACACACATCGTGCCAGCGAGGTGGACAACCTACTTGCTTTCATAACTCACACTTTATTTCCCATTTCCACAAGTTTCCTTCACGTGTGCCCCTTCCACGCTCATCCTTCACGTGTGCCCCTTCCACGCTCATCCTTCACGTGTGCCCCTTCCACGCTCATCCTTCACGTGTGCCCCTTCCACGCTCATCCTTCACGTGTGCCCCTTCCACGTTCATCCTTCACGTGTGCCCCTTCCACGCTCATCCTTCACGTGTGCCCCTTCCACGCTCATCCTTCACGTGTGCCCCTTCCACGCTCATCCTTCACGTGTGCCCCTTCCACGCTCATCCTTCACGTGTGCCCCTTCCACGTTCATCCTTCACGTGTGCCCCTTCCACGCTCATCCTTCACGTGTGCCCCTTCCACGCTCATCCTTCACGTGTGCCCCTTCCACGCTCATCCTTCACGTGTGCCCCTTCCACGCTCATCCTTCACGTGTGCCCCTTCCACGCTCATCTCGTATTAAACTAGCACAAACAGGCGTCCGGTGCTAGTCGTAATGCGTCGCACGACTGGGGACCGGCAGGGAAGGTGGTAATAGAATTTGTCAACAAGTTTGAAAAGAAATGGAAAATGAGCACTAATGAACAGACCCGCCTCCCCCAGCAACCCCCCTCCCCACCCCTGGCACCACAACCCCCGCCCCCCCCCCGGCTTTCCCCTCCCCCCCTTCCCCACTTCTAAGCCGCCTCACCTCCATATCAAGTCCCAAAAACCTTTTTCCTGTTGCAATATTGGTTGGTGTGGTAGCTTCCGGTGGAGCAGGCAGCGTGGCAGCTTTGATCACAGAGGACTGAAGATGACGGAGGAGGAGGAGGACGGTGGCTTGGCCATGGACGCCTGTCCACTCTCTCTTTTTTTGGGTTGTGCTCCTCATAACATTTCCACATATATAACTCATACTGTCTGTGTGTGTTGTGTGTTTGTGTGTGTGTGTGTGTGTGTGTGTGTGTGTGTGTGTGTGTGTGTGTGTGTGTGTGTGTGTGTGTGTGTGTGTGTGTGTGTGTGTGTGTGTGTGTGTGTGTGTGTGTGTGTGTGTGGAAAAAATAAGTTGATTGAGTGACAGTTGGAAGGCGGGCCCAAAGAGCCAGAGCTCAACCCCCACAAGCACAACTAGGTGAGTACAACTAGATGAGTATATGATCACCACATACAAAATTCTCAGGGGAATTGACAGGGATGGATTATTTTACATGGGTGGTACACGCACTAGGGGGACACAGGTTGAAGCCGAATGCCCAAATGAGCCACAGAGACATCAGGAAGAATTTTTTCACTATCAGAGTAGTTAATAAATGGAATGTATTAGGAAGTGATGTGGTGGAGGCTGACTCCATACACAGTTTCAAGTGTAGATATGATAGAGCCCAGTAGGCTCAGGAATCTGTACACCAGGTGATTGACAGTTGAGAGGCGGGACCAAAGAGCCAGAGCTCAACCCCCGCAAGCACAACTAGGTGAGTATAACTAGGTGAGTACACATCCCTAGGATACAGCCCACAGGATGTGTGAGTCGGGTATTAGTGCATGTGTGTGGCAGACACGGAATGGTCCCCTAGTGCACTTGGGGACGCACTGGCAGGGGCGATGATGTCCCCCATATAAGACCCGGATGATGTCCCCCATATAAGACCCGGATGATGTCCCCCATATAAGACCCGGATGATGTCCCCCATATAAGACCCGGATGATGTCCCCCATATAAGACCCGGATGATGTCCCCCATATAAGACCCGGATGATGTCCCCCATATAAGACCCGGATGATGTCCCCCATATAAGACCCGGATGATGTCCCCAATATAAGACCCGGATGATGTCCCCCATATAAGACCCGGATGATGTCCCCCATATAAGACCCGGATGATGTCCCCCATATAAGACCCGGATGATGTCCCCCATATAAGACCCGGATGATGTCCCCCATATAAGACCCGGATGATGTCCCCCATATAAGACCCGGATGATGTCCCCCATATAAGACCCGGATGATGTCCCCCATATAAGACCCGGATGATGTCCCCCATATAAGACCCGGATGATGTCCCCCATATAAGACCCGGATGATGTCCCCCATATAAGACCCGGATGATGTCCCCCATATAAGACCCGGATGATGTCCCCCATATAAGACCCGGATGATGATGATGATGTCCCCCATATAAGACCCGGATGATGTCCCCCATATAAGACCCGGATGATGTCCCCCATATAAGACCCGGATGATGTCCCCCATATAAGACCCGGATGATGTCCCCCATATAAGACCCGGATGATGTCCCCCATATAAGACCCGGATGATGTCCCCCATATAAGACCCGGATGATGTCCCCCATATAAGACCCGGATGATGTCCCCCATATAAGACCCGGATGATGTCCCCCATATAAGACCCGGATGATGTCCCCCATATAAGACCCGGATGATGTCCCCCATATAAGACCCGGATGATGTCCCCCATATAAGACCCGGATGATGTCCCCCATATAAGACCCGGATGATGTCCCCCATATAAGACCCGGATGATGTCCCCCATATAAGACCCGGATGATGTCCCCCATATAAGACCCGGATGATGTCCCCCATATAAGACCCGGATGATGTCCCCCATATAAGACCCGGATGATGTCCCCCATATAAGACCCGGATGATGTCCCCCATATAAGATCCGGATGATGTCCCCCATATAAGACCCGGATGATGTCCCCCATATAAGATCCGGATGATGTCCTCTATATAAGACTTAATGTCAGTAAAAAATGCTCAAGTAAATAAAATATAAAAAAATACAGTTGCTTCTTGTAATAAATACAAGTTTTAGCAATATTTAATAAATTGGCAAGAAATAGTGGCCACAATCACCCAATTACACCCTTATAACATCCCATTGTGTGCGTCCTTACACAGGTCGACCATTGTAGGGCTCCAGCCTCGCCCCAGCCACTTCACATGATGTCATTTCGTAATAAACTTTGAAGACCAATATTTACTTGGCACACAAGCGGAAGCATCAATGTCGAGCCATCATAGCCGTGCTGAACTAGCGAGGGACGTGGCAATAATACACGTTAGCGAGAACCTTTTTCAGCCAACTAATTTTCTGTTGTTAAAGATTCGCTACTTGGTACGAAGTTCCAAGTAGCACGGGCTATGGTGAGCCCGTAGTTTAAAGCCAACTAAGAAAACTCAGCGTTATTTAAGGATCTTCTGCCGTTATCAGTGTAATTTATGCGTCTCGTTTGCATGCTAAAATTTTGTATTTGCTTTTCATATTTTTGCATGATTTTTAGCTGTGTAATTTATCGTGGTTTATACTTTAATATTATTTTATAATATTAATTGTCACTCGTAGTAGACAATGATTTTATTAAAGTCAAAGACGGAATCAAATGTTCAGAAATATTAGATCTTAGACAAGGTGTCAAATTTGTTCATAGGAAATCTTGGGTGGTCGACATGATGGGTTGTCTGCGTTCACGTGTTAGTTATCCACTTAAAAGTTATCCACTTTGCACTAGTTTATTTTTACTTTATCTACTTAATCCAAACTTTATCTACTTAAACGTTATCCAATAAGCACCAGTTTTCCCTCTACATGTACACCACACAAGCACCAGTTATCCTCCTACATGTACACCACACAAGCACCAGTTATCCCTCTACATGTACACCACACAAGCACCAGTTATCCCTCTACATGTACACCACACAAGCACCAGTTATCCTCCTACATATACACCACACAAGCACCAGTTATCCCTCTACATGTACACCACACAAGCACCAGTTATCCCTCTACATGTACACCACACAAGCACCAGTTATCCTCCTACATGTACACCACACAAGCACCAGTTATCCCTCTACATGTACACCACACAAACACCAGTTATCCTCCTAAATGTACACCACACAAGCACCAGTTATCCCTCTACATGTACACCACACAAGCACCAGTTATCCTCCTACATATACACCACACAAGCACCAGTTATCCTCCTACATATACACCACACAAGCACCAGTTATCCTCCTACATATACACCACACAAGCACCAGTTATCCCTCTACATGTACACCACACAAGCACCAGTTATCCTCCTACATGTACACCACACAAGCACCAGTTATCCTCCTACATATACACCACACAAGCACCAGTTATCCTCCTACATGTACACCACACAAGCACCAGTTATCCTCCTACATGTACACCACACAAGCACCAGTTATCCCTCTACATGTACACCACACAAGCACCAGTTATCCTCCTACATATACACCACACAAGCACCAGTTATCCTCCTACATATACACCACACAAGCACCAGTTATCCTCCTACATATACACCACACAAGCACCAGTTATCCCTCTACATGTACACCACACAAGCACCAGTTATCCTCCTACATGTACACCACACAAGCACCAGTTATCCTCCTACATACACACCACACAAGCACCAGTTATCCTCCTACATGTACACCACACAAGCACCAGTTATCCTTCTACATGTACACCACACAAGCACCAGTTATCCTCCTACATATACACCACACAAGCACCAGTTATCCTCCTACATGTACACCACACAAGCACCAGTTATCCTCCTACATGTACACCACACAAGCACCAGTTATCCTCCTACATGTACACCACACAAGCACCAGTTATCCTCCTACATGTACACCACACAACCCTCTACATGTACACCACACAACCCTCTACATGTACACCACACAACCCTCTACATGTACACCACACAACCCTCTACATGTACACCACACAAGCACCAGTTATCCCTCTACATGTACACCTCACAAGCACCAGTTATCCTCCTACATGTAGACCACACAAGCACCAGTTATCCTCCTACATGTACACCACACAAGCACCAGTTATCCTCCTACATGTACACCACACAACCCTCTACATGTACACCACACAACCCTCTACATGTACACCACACAACCCTCTACATGTACACCACACAACCCTCTACATGTACACCACACAAGCACCAGTTATCCCTCTACATGTACACCTCACAAGCACCAGTTATCCTCCTACATGTACACCACACAAGCACCAGTTATCCTCCTACATGTACACCACACAAGCACCAGTTATCCTCCTACATGTACACCACACAACCCTCTACATGTACACCACACAACCCTCTACATATACACCACACAACCCTCTACATGTACACCACACAACCCTCTATATGTACACCACACAACCCTCTACATGTACACCACACAACCCTCTACATGTACACCACACAACCCTCTACATGTACACCACACAACCCTCTACATATACACCACACAACCCTCTACATATACACCACACAACCCTCTACATGTACACCACACAACCCTCTACATATACACCACACAACCCTCTACATGTACACCACACAACCCTCTATATGTACACCACACAACCCTCTACATATAC